GCTGGGATTAGTGGCATACACCACCATACCCTACCATAGAAATGCATTTAATAAGGAGAAAACCAGTTATTAGGATGTCATATTGAATTCTAGGGAAGCAGGGACCTAATATAAACAGAACACTGTAAATGACATTGATACAAATGAGAAGTCACAGGTAACAGTGTGCCCCAATTTATGGGTCAGCCAATTAGTGAAGTCAACAAGCCAATTTTACCATAATACATTATCTTCTTAAATAGCCTTCTGAGTGACATACAAACCAACAGACAAGAGCATTTTTATTTCTCATTATATGCATTTTTAAGTTGTGTAGCAGGCAGGAAACTCAGTGATTCTGTGGCACCAGTGCCTTTGACTGTACATGCTCTGCCCTTTACACAATTTAGGGCGAGAGCCCGTAGTCTTTACTTAAATATTTCTATTTGCAGAAGCCATGTAATAAGCTTCCAAATCAGTCTAGTTATTCTTTTAAAGAAAATTCATGTTGAAATTGCTTCTTGCAAGATTTCTCAGACACAAACATGATTGCTCATGTGTGTTTTGAGACCATCACTTCCTTACCATTTCAAGTTGAAAGGCAAACTTTCAGCCTGCTGCAGGTATTATCACCATACTTCAGAAACAACACTTAGAAAAGTAAATAAGCAGCCCAAAGTTCTGAGATTTTCCTTAGTGGTATCGTTGCCATGGATACAGCTGAGCTGTTATGTAAAGCAAATTGTTTATTGATGGAAGGAGGCTGAGTGGCACTGCAGTGTCTTCATGGTCTCATTGCCTGCATTTCCCACTCTCCTTTTAAGATTAATGGATTTTTTGCATTATTGTTTTGTTTTGAACAAGCTTTGATGATGTGATTTTACAATAAACACATTTTATTAACAGTGTCTCAACAAAAACTGAATATGTTCAACATAAAGTTGTATTTCAAACACGCTTTGTTTATCAGAATTTCTCTGTGTAGAGATGACTTTTAAATCTCATTGTTAAAGGAGTGAATAGCAATGGATTTGCCTCATAACATAGAGTATTCAGGTAATACATTTAATAATATAGCTGAAACATAAACATTTATATAAACATTTATAGTTCTGCTATTAATGGATATTTATAATAGTATACTCAAATAAAATTTATTTTATAAGTAGAAATAAAAAGGAAATGGTGTGTGAACAGTGATCATCATGACTAGTACGGTTGTAAAAATGTCTTCGAAAGTGTTTCTAATACAGTAGCTCCTTAGAGTCTGTGTGTGTATTTAATACATATCATTTTTCCTATTGCTATCTTTATCAGGAAATATAGTAAAGGTAAAATTATAATTGATATTTAATTTTGAGGCAGGAAATGAGTATTTACGTGCCTCATTATTATTACTGCTACAAAAAGACATAAAATCAAGTCTAGCTGTTTTTAGCAAAAAAGAATTCATACATGTCAGTGACACACATTGGTTTTTGAGCCATTTAAAGGTACTGCAGCTCAACCTTCCCTTGGAGGTGAAGTCCTCTGTGTCTTTTTTTTTTCTTTTATGTATTTTTAGTAGAAGGTCTACAGTGTCTCACTACACAGCTTGGACTCCTAGTGATCCTCCCGTTGTCAGCCTCCCAAGCTCTGTGATTACAGGCACGTGCCACGATGCCCAGACTGTCTCTGTCTCAGCGCACCCTGGGGCTGGGGCCTGCGCAGAGCAGTGGAAGGTGAACTCCTGGTCCTGTGTCTGCCTAAGCAGGTGCTTTAATCTATGTGGCTTGCCCTTCAAAAAAACTTTTGACTTATTTTACTTGATCTATTTTTACTAAATGACAAATTTCTTGTTTAAATTTCCATCTCTGTTCAATACTTCTAGTGTTCTGGTTCATTGCCTTTTGCAAGCATGTCCATATGATTTTCTGCTATCATGTTTCCTAATTTCATAACTGATTTTTATTATGAACATAATAACAAGGCCTTCACCTTATGTTAATGTCTGTTTCCCTTACCTTTTGCCAACTCAATATGTATTTTTTGAAGTTGACAGTTCTATTATGTTAAGTAGTGGCAATAAATATTTTTGGAAAACATGAATTTATCTTGCTTTTATAATTTATTAATCTATCCATATACAAGCCAAATCTTAGAAAACATCTGGGTAGAAATGGTATCCACCCCTTTGATACTGTAACAGTTTGTTCCTCTGTCTCGTTAGTCATCTTAATGCACGTTATACTTATTTTTACCAATGTTTATTTCTTGTACTTGAAAATAGGTTTCCATTATGAAATAAGACTTGAACATATATTTGAGAAATGATATATGTACTGAGTAGATAAAAACAGAGTAGTGAAATGAATGAATGAGATTGTCTAAATAATAGTGAATGAATTAGATGGTCTTTGACATCATTTCTTTGACATGATAGAAACATCAGTTTTCAAATTAATTCTAGTTATAATTGGTCACAGTGTAAACCCAAAAGAATTACTCTTAGCCTTCTTATCTTACAATGAAAATCAATCATCCATTCAAGGCACTGCATAGTTACATCATGTTTGAAGTAAAGGCAAAATATCAGTGACAAAATAGGCTGTTAAAAATACTAGGTTTTGGGGTCGGGGAGATGACTCAGTAGAATAAGCACTTCCCTGGCAAGCACAAGGGCCTGAGTTCAATCCCCAGTTCCTAAAAAAATAAAATAAAATAAAATAAAAAATAAATAAAATTAAGTTTTATTGGTGGCTGCAGATGTAAGCATGGCATTAATTTGAACTAGCCAATGAGGACCTTATAGTAACACCCTTTGTCTCCATAAATTTATGTTTTTAGCTTGTGTTCACATTGAGATCTTGCTGATATGATTATTGTTGCTTTTTAAATGTACCACACATTATTTTAAATTCACAAAATGAAGGATGTTATCTGACATAGTAAATTAAGTGTCAAACCTGTAACCTTCTCACCTAAACTTTGATGGAGTGAAGGCAAGGACTCTGCTGCCTTCATTACCACCTCACTTCGTCTTTCAGCATCTTCTTTTAATAAAAAGCCACACACAACTGTGCTGTCGTGCAATTTAGTGTGAATAATTTGTCCCCCAAACTCAAGAAAAACATACTTCCAGTGGACAGAAGTGTTCAGGGGCATGAAAGCCGTACTCCTGGGGTGTCCAAAATGCCTGCCTCACTTCTCTTAGCTTGCGTCCTGATGGGAATGTGTACCCCATACCTGCAGGTGCTTCAGAGAGCCCCTGTGCCAGAATGTCACCATGACACCGCCATCCGTAGCTGCTTTTGTTTTTAAAAATGTCAAGCTCTGAATGAAAATATCTTCAGCTGTGGCTCCAACAGTTGATGGGTCTTAAAGTCACCGTGCAGGTGACATTGATTTTCCTTAGATGTGACGGAGGTGCCTTCCTTGTGGTCCTCTCAACACAACAGCACTTAGCAGTAGGTGAGAGGTGAGGATTTCTTTCCATGGCTTGTGTACAGAATCCCACATACACAGAAGCTACAGCCCACTTCAGAAATTAAGAAGGTGATTGCTCTTGGATGATCATATACCACGCAGCTAGAAAATGGACCCATGATACATCCTGGTGCTGCACGGGCGGCCTCTTGCTGCCATTAAGGATGGACTTTCCTTCACACTTTCAGATAAGCATAAAGGATCAGATTGGTTTACAGATTGAGGAACAGTGACAGATATTCAGTGACATTTTAATGTCTCTGAAGAGATTGGAAGTAGAAGTAAGAAATAACACTTAGGCTTCTGCTAGTATTTATAGCAGCGATTTTTCTCTGTATACATAATTTAAGCTAAGTTCTTGGAAAGGACAAGCCACTATAGGGAGGCAGTTTTCAGTGGAGCTTGTCAGAAGGCCATGCCCTCAGGGAAGCTCTTATCATCTGCCTGCCCCTTTTTAGTCTGGGGTGTCCCTGCACCCCAGAATGGGCCTGCACTGCATGGTCACAGGTAGATAGCAGTTGCATGTGCAGCTTGTAAAGTGTAGTATAGGAAAAACACATGTATCAGGGAGGAGAACTTCTGCAAGCTTCTTAGCCTAGCATCACTCTTCTCCAAATGAGCGTATGTTTTAAACTTTTAGAGTAGTTTTCAGTCTTTACTTTGCAAAGCTACTGAAAGGTTGACAAAAAGGCTCTTCTTTCCTCCAGTCCTAGGACTCTGCTACAGTGCTAGTATAGTTCCTAGACACCTAGAGGTGGCTTGCTGAACGCCACCTCTGTGACAGGCACAAGTAAGCATGGCTTGCGCACTGCAGAGCCAGAGGTAGGACACAGCTTCCTTGATTCCTCAGCAGGCCGCAAAGTCTGGGGAAAAGGCACCAAGGACTTTGACTCATGGAGCTCTTTGTGGTCAATTCAGTGATAAATTGTGATTGATATTATGAATGAAATTATAGCCTTATTTTGAAAGCAAATAGAGAATTAAGCACAAATGAGTCTTGAAAAACTACCTACACTAGTAAAGAGCCAAGAAAAAATGCTTTAAATACTGAAAGAATTCCTAATTAAAAGAAAATTATGAAATGTAATAGTGTTTTAATATATTTATGATGGGAAAATAGGATGAAAGATAATTTTATCCAGGATGAAAAATAATTTTATATGCTACAAATGGAAACTCTTTTCCCTTAGCCCCAGAGTTGTCTACGTCAATAGACCCATGTGTGGTTCCTCCTTTTGCTTTTCTTTTACTTTCTTTTTTTCTTTTCCTTTTCTTTTCTTTCCTCTCTTCCCTTTCCACTCCTTTCTTCTTTCCTCCTTCCTTTTTGCTTTCCTCACCATGAGAAGAGTAAACTCTTAGTCTCTAAAACTTCTCCCCAGTTTTAGATTTCAGTCTTTTTGTTACTTCTTAAAACTGGATGTTTCATTGGTTTAGAAAATCTGCATTTCCCATATTTAAAGAACCAACTAAACATTGCCAAATTTTTATATTTTTAAATGCAGGGAAACAGAAACACGATAATATAGTCAGTATTTCTCTTGTTGTTTTATTTGCAGATTCAAGAATGGCTGTGTTTAAATTGCCAAACTCAGAGAGCAATCTCAGGACAGCTTGGAGACATGGGAAGAATGCCCCCTGCACCCTCTGCACCCAAAGCATCCCCTGTGCCTGGCCTTGCAGAACCTCCACCTCAGAAAGCAGTGGAGAAAGCAGTAGCCGCTGCTCAGGGAAAAGCGAAACAGAAGGAAGCAGAAGTAAAAACCGAGGCCGTAAAGCCCTCTCCAGAAAGAGTAAAAGCAACAGCTGCAAGTGAAAAGACTCCTAAGATATCCTCAGATCTAAGAGAAGAGAGTAAGCTTGAGAAAGACGAAGTTTCAACCCTTCCAGGAAAAAAGCCACTGTCCAAAGAAGAAAAGCCCCTTTCAGAAGAGAGAATGTTAACCACCAAAGAAAAGAAGCCACTTCCTGCAGAAAAGAAGCCAGCCCTTGAGGAAGAAAGGCCGATGCCTGAAGACAAAAAGTTACTACGCCCAGAATCAGAAGCACTGGCCCCAGAAGAGAAGGAACAGCATCAGGTAGTGGAACCTCAAGCACAGGTTGCCCAAGAGAAACCCAGTGGCAGGGGTGCTCCTGAGACACCGCAAGTGGAGAAGCAACCCCAGGCCCAGACAGAAGCTTCACCACCAGGCCAGGCAGACACTTTGCCCGAGGAGAAGGCTCAGACAACTATGGGGAAGGAGCAGCCACAGGCAGCAGGCTCAGCAAAACCTGAGCAGACAGAACCTAGGAAAGAAAAAGCAGTAAGTTGTGTTTGCTTAACTTCACAGTCCTATGGAACGTGCTGAATCCTCCTTAGTATGTAGATCACCCAGGTGAACATAATGAATTTTGGCCTCCACATAATGAATTTTGTTTCCAGAGAAGTGTTTTTTTTTTTCTTTTGCTAAATTCAAACAACTTTGGCCTTTTGATAGCTTAATCAAGTATACATATAAATATAAAACTTATCAATTGCACTGATATAATAATGTATCAAAATCATATAGTAATAAAGGGGCCTGGAATATAGCTCAGTGGCATAAGCGCCTGCCCGGCAAGCACAAGGTCCCAAGTTAGATTGTCAGTAACACACACACACACACACACACACACACACACACTAATAAATTTCTTAGTTTTAAGTTACCCTTTTTTCTCCACAATGGACTTAACAATCAGCATTTTTTTTAAGATAAAGTAACATATTTTTCTGTAAGTTTCTGTTTTCTTATCCTTTTGGCTTTGTGAGAAGCAGGTGTCTGTCCCACAGGAAAGCTGTCATGATGTCACTAAGCCTAACATGATTGTCAACAAAAGAGAAGTATGACTTAGGCTGCAGTCACTGTAAACTTTATGAAGGAGGCTGTTCTAATATTTAGTGTGATTTTAACATTCTGGTAGGAGTTTTGTCCAAAATACTTAATAGTAAGAATTATCTACAATCCAAACATAATCTGGCAATATATATATATATTTTTTTTCTTTAATAGCAATTTTTAAGAGTATGCCATTTCAACTAATATTTATTCATACAATTGTACCATTGTTAATGGAAGTCTGCTTTGTTAGAGGTACAAACAATCTTGCATCTTATATAATTGGATTATTTTAATTCACAGAGCAATAATTATTTTTAGGAAAATTAAATGTTTTAGTAAAACTCTTAACTATAAACTATGTTACACATTTGACTTGACTGTTCCTGTTATTTTATTTGTGTATAGTTTTACACATGCTCACTAACCCACCTCCAGTAAGTGATGCACTGCACATTAACTCCTCATCTTCTTCTGTTTTGCCATTGAGTTTTATCACCATCCATGAAGGCAAATATCCCACTTGGAAATTTGAAATCTAATGTACTCCCGAATCTGAACTCTTTTGAATATTAATGTGAGGTACACATGGGAAATTCCAACCCAGACCTTGTACAATAGGTGTCAGTCACATTAAAAACTGTGGAATTATGAAGAGTATATGAAATATAGATGAATTTAATACTTAGACTAGGATTCCATTCTTAAATACTTTATTATATGCATGCAAATATCCTAAAATCTAAAAACAATAATCTGAATTCCTAATTACTTCTGGTATCCAAGAATTTTGAATAAGGGATATGAACCCTACATTTTTTATCAGTTGAATATTTGTACTACTTTGCTATTGCATTATTGCACTATATAGCATTCAAAGAATGAAAAATAAGTCAGTGAAATGAACTAAAGTGACAATTCTATTGTATATTTAGAGGTAGGTATAAATAGTTTCACAATAAAATATTATTAATAGTATTTCACAGAAGCCATTATGCATTTTGGGGGACGTTTTCGTAACCCAGACTGGCCTTGAATATATTATGTAGACTGGCCTGGCCTTGGACTTATGGAAGCCCTCCTACCTCAGCCTTTGAAGTGCTATGATTATAGGCATGTGCCACCACACCTGGCTTCCTTAAACATTTTAATTTTGTAATGAAGTTGTATATTATAGCTCTTCAGCTTCGAAGTTAGGTTGCGTGAACATTAAATTACTAATAGTATGTTGTTTAATCACTATGTGTAACAAACACAGGATACCTCACCAAGTATATAGGAGACACTGAAGAAATGAATCAAATGTTATACTTACCAAATCTTGTGACCTGATTTCCAAGTATACAGATGAGCACCATTTATAAAAAACTGTGGAAATTGTACATATATTCTCTGATAGGTTCATTCTTCATGTGGAAGTTTTTTTAATGGATTACAATGTTATAATGTTCTCAATTTTTTAAGGCTAGCATGTGTCATTTTATGTAGCATAGTCATATGATGATTTCAAACTATCTTCAAAGGGCTATTTGCACACTGTAGTTCTCTTGAAAAGATGAATAGAGCTTAAAAATGTGTCCCTAAACACTGTTGGGTACTATACTGCTGGTGAGTAGCATTTGCTTTCTGTCAAGGGATCTAATACATGGTATATCACAGATAACCACTTGTTATCAAAAAGTTGGACTTGAGAATCCTTCTAATTTTATTTTATTTTTTTCATAATTTTATTGAGAAACAAATAGCAATGAGACATTTTCAAATCAAATTGGTAGGACAGTTTCAATAATTACACTTTGCATACATTCTTCCTACAGGTTAGTTGCTGTACAAGATGTGGACGTGATATTCTATTTACAAACACCATTAGAACAAATCACTCTATTCATTAAGAGCATGTAACTATATATCTATCCTAACCACTTTGAATACACAGATACAAAATGGACATTCATCTGCATCCCCTTTTTTTGTTAAGTTCCGTTATTTGAATATTATAGGTTTGTAAACTCAGCAAAATATTCTAAAAGAGTCCAGTAGCCCATAATAGTATTGGGTGTTCTGCTTGACTGGCAATGTCAGAAATTGTTGACCTGAGTCCCCTATAGCTCAACATAACAGCATGGTTTTACATCTTATATTTCGTTTTTATACTTTTCTGCTGGATGGTTAAGACCAAGATAAAGCAGGACCTATGCAACAAGAGTTGTAGCTTTTGGGTCTGATAAGGTCAGTGAAATCCCCTCAGGATTTATCCTGAGATCCTGTACCTCAGATTGTAGAACCTTTGTCAGTGTCAGCCATGTGATGAGTCACGGCCATTGCTTGGCCATTGTGCTCTCTGTGAAAGCCTGAGAGAATGTTTTCTCTCTATGTGACTCTCCTTAGGCACACTCTACATCATCCATCACTTTCCTCTTTGACCCCATAATCTCCTTGATCAGAAAATTTGGGACACTACCGAGTTACATAATGTAACAGTATAAGCTCTCCTATGTCCTGAGTCTTAACTGACCTTGGAAGGCTAGGGCCAGAAAGTTGGCTTTCCTTGTAGCCCTCCTTTTTCTCTAATTTTGGTCTGCAAATTTAGGTTGTTAACCATCCAGAAGACAAGCTTATTATTATTACCATACAACCTAGGCTGTTAAGCTTAGCCGCACTATCTGCTGAATATCAAACATCTTAGGCATAACATGGAAAAGGTATTTTTCATCAAGTATTGATATGTTGAACTTTAATTCCCTACAGAATATGATAAAACACATTTAAATATTAGAATATATTTTAAAAATAGGCATAAAGAATTCTATACTTCTTATGTTTACACATAAGTCCGAAAATCTCACCATATACAACCTTGAAGCAGGACAGTCACACAATATTCCTTTTCCTGTCTCTTTCCTTCATTCAACACCCCCTTCTTTTTGAACAACCATCTACTTGAGAGACATCATAGCAACAACTGGCATGTCGTGACAAGCAGCCCGTATTCGGAAGACCAGAATGACAGGCACTCCAAGCATGAAACTACTATTACAGATTACCATCTGCAGTGCAGTTGCTTAGTTCACAGGTATCAGTATATATAGGTAGTCAGGGTGAGAATCTTTCCAATTAACTGCTATATTCAAAAATCTTCTGGAGATTCTCAGGATAATTGCCTTGCCCATCTTCTACATATAACTGTATGGCTTGACATTGTCATGTTTCCTAGCTCTTCTACTTTCTCTCTCTTGATTAGTTAGTCCTTGAGGTCCTGCTTTCCTTTTACTTGTATTATACCTTTCTATTTGTATTTCTTCTTTTGAGTTCTTATACTAGGGAAACTATATGATATTTACACATGTATGTCTGGTTTATTTCACTTCTGAGTATGTTCAAGTGGCATCCACTTCAATATAAAAGCTTCGAGTTTTCTAATTTTATTTTAAATGGGTTAAATTTTATATTCTTCATTTTACATAAATTTGCCATGAGTTAATCAATAAACCTCTATAAAATAATTTTATTTACTTCCTGTGTTAGAATGCCTTCTGCTACCTCAGCAATATCCTGAGACTCTCTGCCCAGTCCTGGCCAACTTATAGCTGATGCAGTAACTGAGTTTCACATGTACCAGTAACTGGGAACTAAAGTAATATTTTCCTTTAGCAAAAGTAATTTTAGTTGGAGAAGTGACTCTTCATTATTTAATGTGCAGAGGAGGCTTTGTTCACTAAAATATGTGTACTTTGATTAAATGAATCAGTTAACATTGAGGATATATTTTTATTGGTATAGTTTTTGGAATATTTTATTTTTTTAGATAGAAATAGAGAATATTATGTACTATGTACCAATCCATAATTTAATTCTCTTACTACCAAACCATTGACTACTTACTTGTTCTCATAACTTTTCCACAGACCTTCTACAATTGTTTTTTTCCTTCCAATGTTTGTTGGTAAAGGAATGCAATTTAAGTTCACCATATTATTTCCCACATTTTGCTTTAGTCATGCCTTTATGACAGGAAAAACATTCCCTCAAATCGTGTGTCTTTTCTATAATTAAGTAAGAGCATTTAAGAGAACACTCAAATATTTTTAATCCAATTTAGTCAAAAGTGATGGAGTACTCCAGAGCATACTTGCTGAATGTCATCGGGGCTTGTGGTGGTCCTATGGTGCTTGGCTGCAACTCCAGAGCGCATTACATGCTTAGCTTGGCTTTTGTATGTGCAACGAGGGACGTAGTGCTGCATCTCAAGTTGTTTCCTTGATAGTATCAAATATTCTGGGCCAGCGTCATGTCACATTTGGTTTAATTTGTCATTATTTTTACCCTGTTATGTTTCTTATGTAAGTCCAGTCACTATATGAAAAGAATCTGTTTCCTTCATAGATTTGATACTTTATTATATTTTATCAACACGTGATTCTTTTGCAGGTATATATTGCCTACTG